TATATATATATATATATATATATATATATATATATATATATATATATATATATATATATATATATATATATATATATATATATATATATTAGTTTTGCTATTCTTACACCAAGGTGTACACCTACACCGTATGAATAGTGCAATACACATATATTAAAAAAAATAAGAGGGTTGCTATGTTTACACCGAAAATCTTACACCATAGGTTTACACCGTATCAAATACAACATGGCCATGTGACTGTTTGTGTTAGAACAATGAAAAACATAATAATTAAATATTTTAGAAAGACAAAACCGTATAATATTAAGGCGTAGTTGTTACTATCAGCGTAAAAGTAACATTTCCCAAAAAATAATAACACAAAGAATACAAGCTTGTCATTTTCTTCTGTGGGCCATAGTCAAATGTCAAATGAATAAATTTATTGTTTCTCTCTCTTAACCTCAACCACATGTTGTATTTTATAACATAAACATGGCTGACTCATTCTTCTTCTTGATCATTCACGACATTTTGTTTCATCTCCAACTTGTCTCTTCATTTCATCTTCAACTTTTCTTTTCATTTCATCTTCAACTTTTCTTTATTTAGCATCATTATGTTATGAAGATGAAGATTTGACTCAGTAAGTTTCTAGATTCATGATTGTTCAAATGTTTTTATATTTAGCACAATGTTAACCTAGTTTTCTTTACTGTTATTGATTTCATGTTTATTCACGATTATTCATTAACCATGTTCTAAAAAGTATGGTCCTACTTTACTCACACCATTAACCATGTTTACCTACTGCTAAACGATTGCATATATTTACTCATGCTGGTTTGTTAACCAATTTGGGAAATGTATTACCTAACTTCTGTCATACCACTAACCAACTTCATAATAAACAATGTTATAAACCTGCCCACATGTCTGGGCGTTCATTAACCAAGTTATAGACAATATTAACCATAATTTTGAACTATATTAACCAACATTGTTATAAATTTATACTATACATAATATTGACATTTTTGTGCAGTTTTTAAGTCATAATGGACAGTTCAAGCATTTTTATAGAAGGTGATAGTAATCAAAGGGAAGATGTAGAAGTTGATCACGGCGATGGTGATGAATCACTTTGGGTTCCTGCAATTGGGATGTGTTTTTCATGTCTAGAGGAAGTTAAAACATATTATCAAGAGTATGCTTTGAAAAAGGGGTTTGGATGGAGGATAAGATCATCGAAAAAAGGAGACGACGGGGAGCTCAATTACCTGATACTTTCATATTCAAGAGAGGGGTCTAACATTTCAAAAATTTCATGCACGTTGAAGACACTTCCATCTAGAGCGAAAAATTGTCCTGCCAAGATTTGTATTAAATTAAAACAAGATGGTTTGTGGTACATTACACAATTTGAGGCAAATCATTCTCATGAGACTAGTCCTACAAAAGCAAGATTGTTCAAGGCTAACAAGAAAATGAACTTACATGTAAGAAGAACAATTCAAATCAATGATGATGCGGGAGTAAGGATCAACAAGACTTTTCAATTGCTTGTTAAAGATGCAAGAGAGCATGAAAATATCCCCTTTTGTGAAAAAGATGTGAGGAATTATATTAACAAAGACCGTCGTGCGATTGGAAAAGAAGGTGATGGTAAGGCTTTGATAAGTTATTTTTGTAAAATGCGGGAACAAAATACAAATTTCTTTTATTTATGACATAGATTTAGATGATGATTTTCATGTGAGGAATGTATTTTGGGAGGATGCAAGAAGCAGAGCCGCGTACGAATACTTTGGAGACGTTGTAACTTTTGACACAACATACTTGACTAACAAGTATGACATGCCTTTTGCTGCATTCGTGGGTGTGAATCACCATGGTCAATCAACATTACTTGGTTGTGGATTGCTATCAGGTGAAGACACGAATTCTTTTGTGTGGTTGTTCAAGTCATGGCTTCGTTGTATGCTAGGAAAAAGGACCTTTAGGCATTGTGACTGATCAATGTAAGGCTATGAAAAATGCTATTGAGTTAGTATTCCCTACAACTCGTCATAAGTGGTGTTTATCGCATATAATGAAAAGTTCCATAAAAGCTTAGAAGATATGGGGAATATAAAAGGATCAAGTATGCAATGAAAGAAGCAGTGTATGATACATTCACAATAGATAACTTTGAACAAAAATGGTGTTCGTTCATAGAAAAATTTGACCTCCATGAAAATGATTGGTTGGGTGGGTTGTAAACTGAGCGTCATAGATGGGCACCAACGTTGTTAAGGAAATATTTTTAGGCTGGTATGTCAACTACGCAACGTAGTGAGAGCATACATGCTTTCTTTGATGGATATATCAATTCTACAACAAGTCTAAATCAGTTTGTGAAATGATATGATAATGCTCTTAGAAGTCGGGCAGAAAAGGAATTTGAAGCTGATTTTAATTCGATGGACACAATAATTCCATGTGGGTCAAACTCGTCCATTGAGAAGCAATTCTAAAGCGAGTTTACTAATGCTAAATTTAAGGAAATTCAAGTGGAATTCAGACTCTAAGATGAATTGTTCTACCTCATTAATAGTGTGGAAGGTTGCCTTACTATGTATCATGTGTTAGAGGAGATACTAGCTGGAAACTTACGCAAAGAGCGAGTCTTAAAAGTTGTGCTTAATAAGGAAAACCATGATTTCAAATGTGAATGCTCATTATTTGAGTTTCGAGGTATTGTATGTTGGCATGTGTTATCCGTGTGTAGTCAGGAGAGGATTATAAGTCTTCCAGAGAAGTATGTTTTATCGAGATGGAAGAAAAATATTAAAAGGAAGCATTCATATATCAAGACTAGTTATGGTGTAACGGAGCTGAAGCCACAAATGGACATGTTTGACAAATTATGCAAGCATTTTTATGAGGTTGTTGAAGTAGCTGCTGAGTCAGAAGAGACTACCGAAGACCTCCATGAAATATTACGTTTGTTTAAATCTAATATGTCCATAAAGGATAGTGCACTTATTGAAGAAATTGGTGATGAGGATTCTAATGCAATCAATAGTAATAGAATTCGCAGTCCAAAACATGTCAAGCGAAAAGGTCATCCTCCATCTAAAAGAAAGACATCTGTTGCTGAAACGATTACTAAGAGGTCAAGGAAGCAAACAAAAAAAATGATCACATTGAGCTTACTACGATATGTCTATTTTCATGCATAAATGATATCTTATATGAATTGTTATGTATATGGAATCTAAATATTTTGTTTCTCTAACTGTAGGAGTGCAATATTGGAATGGTGGAAAATCAATTTCGAAGTAATGTTTGCGTAGAATCATCTCTTGAGGTTGTTAATGGAGGAAATTGTGTAGATTCGACTATTGTGGTGTGTGTCCATTATAAAATTGTATTAAATAACGTTTGAAAGCATATGTACTATTTGAGGAATTTGTTGTGTTTTAAATTTGAGGAATTTGTATGTACGAGTTGCGAAAAACATATGTAGTTGTTGCAGATAAATTATGTGTAATCATTGTAATACCAATTTATTATGTATTTGATTTTATACACGTCATATTTTAGATTTTTTGTATGTTATTGTACAGGTAGAAAATTGTATGTCATTCATGGATCTTTTGACAACATGCGAAACACCCTTGACGGGTTCATCCCATGTTTGTACAAATTTGACATGGTTAGTGGCATGTGTATTTTGGGAAGACTGTCACTCACACACACACACACACATACACACACACACACACACACACACACACACACACACACACACACACACACACATACACACACACACACACACACACACACACACACACACACACACACACACACACACACACACACACACACACACACATATATATATATATATATATATATATATATATATATATATATATATATATATATATATATATATATATATATATATATATATATATATATATATATATATATATATATATATATATATATATATATATTCTATTTTGGTTAATTTGACATGATGGTATGGTTTTTAAAATATTTTTTAATCTTGTTCAGGATATTACATACACTAATAATAGTTACATTTGGTGGTGCAGGTGGAATATTCAAGTTCAATGTTACAAGATTGTAAATATACTTTTGGAGTGTAAATGTTGCAAGATTGTAAAATTACTTTTGTCATTATAATAATTGTACTAAACTTTGTTGGTGTATATAATATATAAAATTATTTTGTTAATACAGTCCCAGACTTGGTTAATACATTGCTAGAACTTGGTTAATACATTGTCAAACTTAGTTAACACAGTCGAAGACTTCAAAACAAGGGAAATTGTTTTGTCCCATACTTGGTTAATGCATTGTCCCAGGCTTGGTTAATACATTGCTGGAACTTGGTTAATACATTGTCAAACTTGGTTAACACAGTCCCAGACTTCAAAACAAGGGAAATGTTTTATCATAGACTTGGTTAATACGTTGTCCTATACTTGGTTAATACATTGCTGGAACTTGGTTAATACATGGTCAAACTTGGTTAACGCAGTCCCAGACTTCAAAACAAGGGAAATTGTTTTATCACAGACTTGGTTAATACGTTGTCCCAGACTTGGTTAAAACATTACTGGAACTTGGTTAATACAATGTCAAACTTGGTTAACGCAGTCCCAGACTTTAAAACAAGGGAAATTGTTTTGTCCCAGACTTGGTTAATACATTGCTGGAACCAAACTTCAAAACCAAACTTGGTTAATGCCTTTTCAGACTTCAAAACAAGGGAACCAAATGATGAACATAAACACAATAAACAATAATGCAATTTTAGACTTCCAAATAAGGGAACCAAATGATACTTCAAAATATTCAACACATTAACACCTTAAATTCAAAATGAACTACAAATTCTACAATTGTGCCAAACGTTAAAATTGTGCCAAATTCTACACTACAACACATCATAATTCTACCATACATATTTATCAAATTTCTATAACAGTAATGTATTACAAATTCATTCTAGTTCTTTTTCCATGTTTCCTTGGTTTCTTCCTCATTCTTGTAGCAATGTTAGATCTAGACTTTGATAGGTTTTCTTCAACAATGGTGTCATCATTAAGTGGAGTGTTATGTCCAACATCTCCAGCCGAAGTCTCTACTGCATATTCAGTGACAAAGTTAATAAGTTGTCGATCATCTTGAACATCCTCATCCTGAAATGGAGTGTTAACTCTTGCCTCTTTCCTCATCCTCACTTCCTCCTCAAGAGCTGCTATCCTCTCCTTGAAATCTTTATTGTTATCCACCAATCTTTGATAATCATACAGATTCCCAAATTGTTGTCCTTGTTCAAACAAAGCAGTATTGACTATGTCATAATTCAATTCCTTCTCTGTTGCAACCACTCTATCAATTATCTAACAAAAAAATAATCAATTCAAACACACGACAACAGAAAAGCTATTTTCCTCAAATCGAACACATAAAATCCTACCATATTTTTGTCAAATGCTTTTTCAATGTTTTTCTTCTGCATAGTTATAACTGACCAATTCAATACACGCGGAAATGAAAACATAGTAACAACAGGTGCTTTCCCCAAAGATAAGTGGTTGAATCCCCAAATCTATAACAAATATTACAAGATGTAAATTTCAAAACTCTTAATATTCAAAACACATGATGAAACTATAAAGTTATATATGAAGATTTACCTGCAAAATGGCAGCACACCCGTTTAAATGTCTTTGTGCCTTGTTTTTTCCCTCCTTCAACACAACTGAAGACTCACATAAACTAGAAACTATAAAGTTATAAACAGCAAGTCCCCAACTAAATGTATCAAGTGAGTCAAGATCATCTAATTGCTTAATAAATTCGGTAAAGACCTTATTCCCTATTTTGGGAAAGTAAAACTCCGCAAATGCAAGTAATATGTAAAGTCTAACAAAATTGACTAATTTTTTCTTTTGGTAATGAAGTTGTTTGCGAATATTGTAAATGGTTACCTCAGTCCCTTTAAAAAGATCTAATGTTTGACTTTGTTGGTTTTCTTCTACTACTAGGGACTTACCAACAATAGATAATCCAAGCGCAAAACAAACATTAATCGGAGTAACGGAAACTATCCTATCCCTAACCTTAAATCCCCTACTTCGTACGTCCCACCTACTTACTGATTCCCATAATAAACCACCTGAGATTGAGATGTTGTTAGAAATAATCATTGTCCATTTGAATGGGGTGCATTCGATGTGGGCTCGTTGACTTGGTGTTAACTTTTCATTGATGATGCTCAAATTCACTAGAATACAACTATGCCTCATTCGTACCTTAAATTCACGAAAAAAACTTAACTACTTTTACTGATAAATAAGATCCAACATTCCAACCAGAATAATAAAACCAATAAAAACAGAAAAACTTACATAACTTTTATTTAGATTTCTTGGTGATTCCATAGTTTCAGCAATAAAGAACTCAGCCTGATAAAATCCAAAACCAAATAACCACATTATTAGTAACATAACAAGAAATATATTACAACCTAGAATTGAAAAATCTATTACAATAACCTAAAAAGAAAAAAACCCTAAACCTAAAAAGAAAAAAACCCTAAACCTAAATCCTTTTTCAGTTTCCCTCATTGAACAACAGAACTCTCGTAACCTTAAAAAAATTAAGATAGTGTTGTTCATGTAAGAAGAATATCAGAACATGTTTTGAAAAATCAGAACTTTTTCATGGAAGAATTCATGTAAGAAGAACATCTAACCTTAAGAGCTCACGATGTGTCGCGGTGTGTCACGGTGGTCGCCGATTCGTCACGGTGGTCGCCTATTCCAGAAAAGCTCACGATGAAATGAGAGAGATTTTCTTCTTCTTTTGAGAGGAGGGGTATTAGATTCAATGTGAAAGGCAAAAATACATTCAATATCATTAACTTAGCACTATTCATAAAGTTACTAAATTGCCCTTATATATTAAGTAAATTACAACAAAACCAGTACATTAGAAACTACAATACCGTGTAGGTGTACACTAGAGTGTTAAGATATCATTTCTTTTATATTACATGAGATACTAGCAATACATTTCAATATTTAACATCTAAATCATGTCACGTCTTGTTTAAATTTGTTCTCGTTTAATTTATTTTATTGTTTATATTTGTATATATATTGATTCATTACGATATAACTAAGATGTTATTGATAATATATGATAATTTGGGCTCAATTCTTTTTATAAATAGTCTAAGAACAACATCAAATTGAAGAGAAAAAAACAAAAAAGTTAAATAAAAAGATTGTGTTTTATAGGAATTAATATTGATGTTTTAGTTAACATTGTTTTTTTAAATAGAATTTTATTTTAAAATTTAGATTTATATTGTTTTGTTAGTAAGATTTACTTTTGATCATATTATTTATACTATTTGGTATAATTTATTAAATTTAAACCAAAATTTATGAGTTTAATTTTGTTGAGTTGAAAAAATAATAAAAAGTTTACATGTACCATATGTGATCTAAATATGATTTAAGAATAAACAAGTACATTATGTAGATTTTTACAACCATTTTAGAGAAAAATATGTGTGGTTTATTTAAAATTAAATCATACTTAATGTCATTTTTGTATTTTAGTGTTTAGATGGACACTCTCGTGTATGTTTGTCCGTTTTTTTAATAGACATATGTGTCAAAAATATAAATAAATATTTTTTTATTAGTTTTAATTTTAATTTTAATTATTTATTTAATAAATTTAGTGAATAAACTTTATAAACAAGGAAAGAAAAAATATAAATTGAGATAAGTCATGTTGAGAAGTTATCATTATTTCAACTTTTTTATTTAAAATATTGAAAAATTATTCATTTATGAGGTAATTTTGATAGGAAAAATTAAGTTATTTAAGAGACAATTTTGGAAGAAAAATAAGTGAACCCAAACTCTCAGATTTCCTTTATATATTTATAGATACCCAATTTAAGAAAAACAATATGCGTGAAAGATTTGTTTCTAACCAATCAACTCTTTGTTAAATTTTAACACCTATTTTTAAACAAAATTGATATAATTTATATGTTTTACATTTCTTTAGATAGATATAGATGTCATAAGTTAGCTTTTAATTAAATTACTCTCTATTAAACTATTAAAAAAAAAGGTACAATTTTTAAAGGTTTATACCGTTTTAAGAAGAAGAAAAAAAAGGTGTCACATGTTAGTTTTAACATATATGTAACACTTATAACACCAATTTATCACCAATATTAAATTGATTTATCATCTACTATCAACCCTTTAAAATTCAATTGCATGCTTTGACGATACTGTCCTTCTAAGTATTTTAATTTATACTACCATTTGGACATTTCGGTAATTAACAAATCACTCAATTAATATTGACCCAAGCCGCTAATTTGATGCCAAACTAGTAGAAGACCTGTGCGTCCGCACGGGACGCACGGAAAAGTTAATTCTTTAATATAAGAGCATTTTTAAATAGAAATAACAAAACCAAAATGATCATAATTTCACAGTATTAATTGTGAAAATATTCAACTGTTTTAAAATATATTAACAGTGCTTAACACAATTATAATATGTCCAACATAGAATAAAAAAACTAATAATAAATCTTTGATTCTAATAATACTGAGATTACATAACCTACAAGCATGATAAATGAAATGAGAATTAGGGAAATGTTCTAATTAGAAAAGAGAAAACATTATTTTGACCTTGAAAAAATGACTTACATTTGCATGGTGACATTTGTATTATTTCTTCAAAAATGATAGTGTGTGAAAGCTTAACAAAGACATCTCAAACAACCAAGGAACAACCAAACACAAAAACGTATGAGCTTAGTATTAGAAGGTTTCTCGTATACTCAAACACTGTCAAAATTGAAAACGTTAACCTATAACATGTGCTACACAATGGTCTATATGTGATTAGTGATTTTTTACAGCACTCAAGAAAACAAAAGCAGAATATGATGTACTAAGCCTACCTTGCAATCTTTAGTGTGAAATTCAAATAGAAAGATAATTTAAAAACTGAAATATGTGCTACAAATTGGAAAATTTTGAATAGAGTAATTATAGAGCATCCAAGAAGACACAATTCAGCAGAAGAGACTGCATTATTTCTACCTAGTATCTAGCTTAGTGGTCACATTAGCCGCACTTGGGATGATTCGCACAAATAAATATACCAATCTATTAAATTAAGTTCAAAACTTCAACACCAAATGAGAGCAAATATTAATTTAACACTATTATTAATCATTGGTCAAGTGAAGAGAAGAGTCCTAGAAAAACAGTACACTAACATAATGAGCTTTTTACACAATTACCCATTACAAGCTACCATAAGATACAAGCTAACTTAAACACTTGGACTTACAAGCAAGGTCCAATCCAATATGCTAACAACCTAGCAATATTGACTAATACATGTTAGAACAAACTTCGACTACAACACGCATTATTCCGACAGCAGCATACAAACATACTTCGACCTCATGCTTAATTCCTGTCAAACCAGAAGCTATCATTTCCCGAAAGCTATGATGTTAGACGGCAGAATCATAGAAACGACAATGACTTGGTTTTGTAATCCTTGTCCTTGGTTTTGAAATGAATTATATTATATAAAATTAATATTATATTTTAATTATATAATTTGAACTATAGCAGCAAGTGACTTCTTAGAGCAAAATATCCTAAATTGAGCATGTATATATTTTTTGTATAACTTACTATAGCAGCAAATTAATATTATATTTTAAGTATATATCTCAAACTATAGCAGCGCCTATTTTAAGTATATTCTAAATCAACCACAATCCTACTTTTTAGAGCATATATTGAATTGAGCATGTGCAACGCATCATTTGTTTATAGCAGAACTTATAAAACAAATATTGGCAATAAGTGTTACCTCACTTAATGTGTTTTTATAGCAGAACTTATAAATTTGTTTATAGCAGCAAATTATCAGTTGTGAAGCCAATCGATTTTGATGTATACAAAATGCATAGAAAAATAATCCAGAATAAAATTATCATAGGTCTAAATGATTGCACAAAAAATACATAGCAAAATAATAAAGGACTGATATTAGAATTAACTGCTCTAAGAAGTAAGCAATTGATTCAAGATACATAGCAAAAATATGAGTCAAAGCTTAGGCCTAATTGTTTCATAGGTCTGCAAATTACAATAAGAGTAGGAGTCGCATTATCCTTTGAGTTGAGATGTTCATAAAGTTTGGAAGCATAGTCGTCCCGGAGAGTTAAATCGATGATGTTACGATGTAGTCACTTAGTGTAATGTTTGCAAAATCTTTTTTGTTGTTACCACCAATCTGTTTTTTTATAACCTCGTGCAATATTCCAATGACATCTATCATGTTAGCATCAACATTGAAATAAAACAAAATGAGTAAAGGCAAAGTAAGAAAGAAAAATACAAAAACAGTGAACATCAAAAGTTACAATTACCATATAAGTGGTCAGGCTTGAATTTTAAGAAAATCGGTGATAGATTTGAAATCATATTGGTGTGGCGGTATATCCTGGTTCAGATGCTTAGACGTGAAAGTTACAGTGGTGAACATAAGTTTTAGATTATTTTCACAAGCCTTGAAAGGCAAATCATTTTTCAATGATCCTATATAGAATTGATGACTATGATTAGTTGATGGTTAAGATAAGAAATAGAATGAGAAACATTTGTTAGTAATTACGTGTTTATAATCTTTGCATCTTGAATGATCAGTTGTATGTGCAACTGGCCATTCCTCTCCTTCACAGTCCACAAATCAATAATTCTAAAAGTGTTTACGAAAAAGTATGTGACTCATGAATGTACAACTATCTTCATCCCCTAAGATGAATGATTGAATAGTTATATTTTCTTAATAAACCTCTGATTTACTTTTTCAGATTCAATTCAGTTTTACTTTTTTAGATCATACAGAAAACCTCTGATTTTCTCACATTTTCCTGGTGTACAAAACTTAAACAGAAGACCCACCAGAGAAAAAAAACAGGTACAATTTTTAAAGGTTTATACCGTTTTAAGAAGAAGAAAAAAAAGGTGTCACATGTTAGTTTTAACATATATGTAACACTTATAACACCAATTTATCACCAATATTAAATTGATTTATCATCTACTATCAACCCTTCAAAATTCAATTGCATG